TTTTTCTTTCTTTTTTCGTTTATAAATAAGGGATGATAAATAACTTTGATTAAACAGACTAAACTGACCAGGTGGCAGTGGATTCAATTGAAGGGAAGATGACCTCCAAACAGGTACTAATCGGACATGGTAGTTTTCTTTTCGCTGCTGCCAAAATCATGATAGCTACTTCTCTAGGTAAAAGTTCAAGCATATCCTCTTAGCTTGTATTTTTCAATGACTCTTTAAAATCAAAGCCCACAGAGGCAGTAAGGTGGATTTAAAAGTGACTGAACTGCTGGGCTTAGAGGGTTGTGATCAGCAACACAAAGGCCAGCTGGAGGCTAGCTACTATTTGGAGTACCCTAAAGGTACTGGGGCTAATACTGTTTAACTTCTCTATTAATGATCTGAAGGTTATGGGGTGGAGCGCACTCTCAGCCAGTTTGCAGATGATACCAAATTAGGAGAAGTGTTTGATACACCAGGTAGTTGTGCTGCAATACTTTGACAGGCTGGTGAAGTAGACGGAGAGGAACCTCATGAAGTTCAACAAAGGGAAATGCAAAGCCCTGCACCTGGGGAAGAATAACCCCATGCACCAGTACAGACTGGGTAGAGGCTTCCTGGCTGGAAAGCAGTTCTGCAGAGAAGGATCTTGGGGTCCTGGCAGACAAGTTGAGCACAAGCCAGTGCTGCACTCTCACAGCAAAGAAGGCCAACAGCATCCTGGGCTGCATAGGATTAGCATGGTCAGCAGGTCAATAGAGGTGCTCCTTCCCCTCTACTCAGCACTGGTGAGGCCGCATCTGAAGTGCCGTGTACAGTTCTGGGCTCACTAGTATAGGAAAGACATGGACGTCCTGGAGTAAGTCTAGTGACGGGCCTCCTACGATGATTAAGGGACTGGAGCATCTGACATACAAGGACAGGCTGAGAGAACTCAGGTTGCGTAGCCTGGAGAGGAGAAAGCTCTGGGGGGGGGATATTAATAATGTCTGCAAACACCTGATGGGAAGGAATGAAGAAGATGGAGCCAGACTCTTCTCGGAGAGTCTCACTGAGTTTCAGAGTCTCAGCAGTGCTCAGTGACAAGACAAGAGGCAAGGGCACGAACTGAAATGCAGGAAATTCTGTTTAAACATAAGAAAAATAATTTTTACTGTGAGGGTGGTCAGACACTGACACAGGCTGCCCAAAGAACTTGTAGAATCTCTGTCTTTGGGGATATTCAAAACCTGACTGGACATGGTCCTGAGCAGCCTGCTCTAGCTGCCCCTGCTTTGAGCTAGGGGGTTGGAATAGTCAATCTCTAGAGGCCTTTGCCAACCTCACCTGTTCTGTGATTTCCTCCATCCTTAAAAGAAAAATTATCTTTCACTTTTATGAATTGGAGACAAACCATTGATATTTCTAAAAGACAAAATGTGACTGCTCAGTCCCACCTACCAAGCCTGCACTATTTTTCCATTGCTTGATTTCTTTTGAGCCCACAGAGTCCTGTCTTTCATTAACCCATTCTTTCCTTGCCTGGTCTGTTACTACTGTTCACCTACACACTCTGTTCTTACCATTCTTAGTTCCTTGTCAAGTCCTTGGAGAAATATTCCAGTGAAACCCCCAGATCTGTCTCCATCACTACTGTTTAAAGCGGCTTCCCTGCCTTGACTTTCATCTAAGAGTTCACCGGTCTCCTCGTAATGTTCCCTTCACCCTAAACTCCAACGTTTAATTTTCATGGCCAAAAGACCCAAATCCATGTTCTAGCCCAGGAACTAGCTGTGGTTGTAATTTGAGTAGGGAATAAGTCAAAAGGTAACGGAGTAATTGTGAGGTTAGTATTAAAGTGATTTTGCTTCCTTTTCACTGTCCTTCCTCTTAGGTGTTGTGAAGCCTTTGAACTACCCCGTGAGAGAATCATCATTATTGCTTTAGAAATATCACGATGCTCCATACCAATTTAATATTAGCCAGTTAATCTCTATAATGCTATCTTCCAAAATTGTAAGAAAAATGTAAAAGCTAAGGCAGAAAATTGTAGTTGCCTATTTATTATCATGATGACTGATGCAGTGGAAACCAAGTTGTCTTTATGCTTTCATTCAAAAAAATAACTTCACCAGGCAAATGAAAAACTAAAACTGGCAACGCTGACTTAATTTCTCAAATCTGGCATATAGGTCTGTACTTCCAGTAAGCCTAGTGCTGGCCAGCAGATTTGACTTTTCTTTTAAAACCAGATACATTTTAATTATGTTCCCTCTGGATTTTCTCTTTATTAATTGGAAATATCCAAAGAGTTAATTGAAAATACAAACTTTATTTGGTTCTATATCAAACCTGACATTATGATCTTTTTATCTACAAGGCAAGAATTACGTGGGATCAGAAGTCTGAATTATTCATGACAGTTTCCAGCCATTTTTTCCCCTCCTCCTTTGTTCAGTGTAAAATCTTATAAGCTTTTCTTTCAGTCAAGGTGAAAGCAATATTAAGTCTCGGAAGTGAAACTTACCAAAGACATGTAGCTCTGTGAAATCCTTGTCCTGTAATCCTGGCTTTCTATTCACCACCACTATTCAATATCCCACTTTCTCTATAAGCTTCACAATATATAAGCAGTTGATGAGATTTATTTGTTATACTCCTGTTTTTCTTCTTCATAAAAAAGCTTTATCCATCCCTTCGCTCCCTTAGGACTAATGCTGATGTCTGTGATTGTTTCTGCTGGGCTCGCTAATCCAGCAGCTCCATTCAAGGTGCTGGACAGTTGGTAGAGGGTGGAGAGTGGGGGAGGAGGAGAGTCGTGCTTGTTAAGATTTAGGATAGCGTGTGTAGTGAATTTTAAAAATGTTGTTAAGATCCAGTTAAATAATTATGAACTAACATGGTTGCTTGCGTGAGTAGAAATACTGGCAGGTCACTTCTGAAAGATGCTTTATGAATTAAAGCTTGACTGTAGTATGTTGAACCTCTCTAAGGGACTAAACAGAATTATTGCTGGTCATTTTGGAGACATGACAACAGATGAGATGGAAGTTGAGTCTGATCTATGCTAATGAGTCCTACATTTCCTATTTGCAATATTGCTCCTGATGCCTGTAGCAGCTCCATGTATGTTTTTCTTACAGCCTCTGACTTCATCTGTCGTGGTATTTTTCTCTTAAATAAACACATTTCTGGATAGAAATGTAAAAGCTTTCTTATTTGTTACTAAGGTTAAAACGACAGAGAGTATTGATGTTATGAAGTAAGTTCTTTGTCTCTAACCTTTTAAAAGTAAATCATTGCCTTTAAGGTGAAATTAAAACATACAGAGAATTCAGTATGCAAATAGCATGCGCACCAGATGATCTGAAGGAAGCCTGCACATTTCCATAGAAAACAAATGTGAGCGTAGGAAAGCAGATGCTTTCTACCGACAGAGTGTACATACAGTTCTCAAGAGGACCTGAACAGCAATTTATTTTCAGACTGCTGGAAGTATGCAAATTCCTACAGAATTAAATGTGAATTTAAAAGAAATGGCATCTATTAAGGACAAGACAACCCAAAGAGGCAATTGGGAACTTAATAATTTAATCAAGAACTTTAACAGGCTCAGCAGTATTTCTAAAGTCAATGACTCAAATGTCATCTGTTTTTAGCAAAGACGTAAGTGGTCATGTTGAAAAGATGTCTTTTAGAGTATGGCATTTGGAGTGTTTATCTGTGACCATGGAGAAGTACGTTAGTATGGTATGTATAGATTTTCAGATGATTCGCCATCAAAAAGCATCATCTGTTCACTTGAGCTGCTCATAGGGTATAGTCAGTGATATGCCTGTGGTGTATCGCCAGCATTATGTTTGCTATTTTTAACTTTTATTAGTTTAACCCAGCAAGTCTGGGTAAGTTTGATTCTGTCCTGACACACAGGTAATCACCACAATTATTAATTAAATTCTTGCTGCTGGATATTGTTCCACCTGATGGCTGTGGGACTGGATGGATGTTACTGAGATTATTATAATCTGAAGGCAAGGGAATAGTGCTAGGTGCAGTGGCATAATCTTGCACAAGGAGTATTGCTGGTGAGCCGTCAGCCAGCTGCATAGACATGGGAACTGTGTTTTTTCCTTCTTTCTGCAAAAACACAGTATTACTGGAGTGGGGACGAACACACAGGATGGCAGAATTCAAGTTTGCCAGACAGTGCTGCCTCCACTCCTCCCGGTTACCCTTACAGAATCCAGCTGCTCAGTTCATCTTGCTGCTTTTTTGTCTCTTAGTGATTCCATTTAATGACTCCATTTGTACAGAGAGATGCCCAAGCGAGGTCAGGGAGGGCAGGAGATGTTGGTTTAGTGAAATGTGCTACATCACATTTAGTATAAATTTTGGCTAAACATGTAAGGTCAGATGTGTCCATTTAGATGCACTGGAAGCAACAAGTTTTCAGGCCTTTTGAAAGCTGTCAAAAGGCAATGAAGGTCACTGCTTATAACTTTAGGAATTTAACTTTAAGCATTCATATACGACAAGGCTTGGCCAGGGTTCTCATGGCAGGAAACCCCCTGTACGACCTGGAGCCTACCGAGCCCCGCTGTGCTGGTACAGTTTAATAAACACAGTGAGTGGCTGGGCTGTGTCACCCGCCTCTCATACACTCCACAAACAAGGAACAAAGTAGACAGATACAGTGTTACCTCATTTCAGAGCAGAAATACTTGAACTGGTAACTAAAATTAACCTGGTCAGCAGGGGAGACACTGTGATCACAAGGGTGAGATTGCCAGGTAAGGTCATCTCCGCAAGCGGAGTCTTCTCAGCCTTGTGAGTTACTCTTCTTTGTACTCTGCCTGTGTGTTTTAAAAACACAAATAACTGCATCGTGTCTGTAAAGCCACAGGTCTGTAGCACTCATGCTGCCCATGGATTGGGCATAGAGGATTACCAAAATGTTCATTCTCTGGTGTTTTCCACTAGTTAAGAGTCATCCTCTTACAACTGAGTAATATGTAATTTTTTTCTTCACACAGGTTGTAATCCTCGGCAAACATTCTAGAGGCTATCACTACATGTTAGCTAACCTGGTAAGAACTTTTCTTCATTACAAGTATAGTTAAGGTTTAGAGGGTAATATATTCTGTTCAGGTTGTGGCAGCTTTAATCAGCAGAAGAGGAAATGCATGGATGAGTTCTTGGATGTTGAGAAATTACTTCAGTAAATACTAGAACTGGTATGTTATAGTCATTTGTACTCAATTATGGTCTTTCTTTTGTCTAAGAAGCTCATACCCTCTACTAATTTTAAAATAATAGTTTAATTATATGTTTTCCACTAATTTGTATCCTCATAAAGAAGACACTTGATAACCGTAATCTTCTGTGTAACATACTTGAAATTTAAGCACTCCAGGAAAAATAATTGTAGCATATTTGTGTATAAAATAAGTGGTAAAAAGCTGCAAATTAGAACAATTCCATCAAGTAAACCAGCCAGGCTGTTTAGCTGTTCTTTTGTATTTCAGAGTGTGGGGTGGTGCCTGCGTATGTGTTGACCTACCAGGACAAGACAGTACATTTTTATCTGTATCAGAGCTTCTTCTGGATTCTAGAATTTACTTTCAGGGATGTTTATGATGCTTTTGAAACACCATCTGCTGGAGTTTCTTAGAAAAAATGTTATATTGTAATTGATCCTGCAGCAAGACTAATTTTTGGGTTCTGTGTCTACTGTGAGTGGAAAAATGTTTTTCCAAAACTCACACTTTCAAGTTAGCAATCCCACTTAGTAGAAGATTCTCTGTATCCATGTTCTGATGTGATTAAAGCAGAAAAGACAAATTTTAAAATACCCTTTTTTAGTATAAGTACTGTATGACTTTAAGATGTGTCATTTTGCATTATAAGAACCAGTCATGATCTCACTGATTAGCGTGTGCATAGAAATACAGGGGTTCTTATTCTGGGTTACCTTTTAGCATGTGTAACCATTGACATTCAGATAAACATGACTGCAGTCAAGTCATACTAATCAAAAAACCACCAATTTACTGCCTCAGGTATAAATAACAAGAGTGGGAGAGAATCATATCGTTCTGTCTGCAAGTGAAACGTTAAGTAATGCTGTGAGGGAGAACTGCCTAGCAGGGAGGTGTGCGCTTTGCCTCCGCAGAACAATATGGGTGTTAAGAGGTTTTCTGCTCCCAGCGCTGAACCGTCATGCACACTTTGCTGTACAAATGGGATGAGGTCTTTGACCAGTTTTCACCATGATGAGGAGAAAAGAGGAAATAATACTTCAAGTTTCCCCACTGTTTTCTTTCTGACCAGTGGATATTACGTACCATGTGGCCACAACACAGCAGGACAGTTTTCTATTGCAAAGGTCTGAACAAGAAGACATTTTAAATTCTATTCTATGCCACTATTGCAATCCCAATTGTGATAGTAATTGTCTCCTTCGTAGAATATTTTCAGCTAACAAGAGGGAAATTAATCAGTTTCTTTTGTGCTACACTTATAGCAGATAAAACTGAGCCAAAGAAAAGGGATTTTGGATGGCAATGATTCTTGTTTTCTACATGTGTCCTCCCAGGGTTTCACAGACATTGTTCTGGAGAGAGTAATGCATGGAGGTGCCAACGTTACTGGATTCCAGATTGTTAATAATGAAAACCCAATGGTTCAACAGTTTCTACAACGCTGGGTGAGGCTCGATGAAAGAGAATTCCCTGAAGCCAAAAACTCACCATTAAAGGTATTTATTTCACCCTGACAGTGATGGAGACTATATGAGTTGCTTTTAACAATTACTCGGGGTTTTTTAACCCCAGGTGTGTGCATGTGTATGATACAGATCCCTGATAGAATATGTTGCAACATTCACTGCCCTTCCAGAAGAGAGAGAGGCAGAGGCTGTTAGTTGGACACAAGTGCCCACCACAGTGGGAGTTCCTCAGAGGCAAAGGCTTGGTATTGCAAATCCTGTCATTGTATAGTGGATGTAAAAACTTTTAACTTGAACTTCTTGAGTTAGTCTTGAGGTAGGGGTGGGGGCTAGTTATGTTAGTTTTTAGATGCAAACTGTGGGTTACTAGTCAATTTTAATGCTAATAGAGAATTTCATGTGCAAAATAAAGTAGCTCTAGATTCACTGAGGAGCCACAGCCACCTCCTAGTCACTGCTGACAGTTGCCCTCATAATCTAACCCTGTATTTTGCACCGCTGTCCTTTACTTAAACACTCTGGATATTATATCTGCAACCAATAAAATTTTCCAAATTTTTTTGAATGAAAGTCCCAGGTTCACCAAAACTGTCGTAGATTGGGTGAACTAAAGGCTGCTTTTATTAGGAGACTCGCAACCAGTTAATATCTCCCGCGGATTTTTTTGTACCTCAGCATCTCTGTAGCAGAGAGGGATGCTATTCACTGTCCAGTCAAGGAGTGCATCAAGGATACTCTGTCCAGTGATTGAAGTCATCAAATCTTCTAGGACCACTGCAAATTATTAATATTCCTATTGTGTTCCTTCTTTCTCTTCCTCTTTTGGTGAGACCTGTTCTTTTTCATCAATACGCATAGGTGAATAAAACCTGGAACTGGTGGTGTATAAGAGGACCTTAAATTCTGTCACTCCCGGGAGTCCAGTCCTCCACCTCATGTATACTGACTGTCTCAGGGAAGCCAAACCTATCTAAGAACCACAGCCATGATGAGACAGTTCTTTCCTGCTGACATGTCTTTCCTGCTTGATTTGGGAGGGACACATGCAAACTGATGAACAGATTTGGAATTCAAAATTACTCCAATAAACTGGAGTAACGTCTTGATATTAGTAAGACAAAATTCAGGGAAGCATAAAATACTAGCTAGAAGGGAAAAATCTAGTCCAGTCCAAAGCATGGGGGGACACCAGAGTAGGTGGTAGCACTGTGTTATGTTAACAACCAGTTATGTGGTTCTGCTGCCAGAAGGCCAATGCCATTTGGAGGCATACTTTTCCATCCCTGGGATCATGTGATTTCTATGGGGAAGGAAAATTATCTTAATCCAGCGCCATCCCACAGCCTTGCTGGCATTTCAGAGGAAGCAAAGAAAGGCAAACAGAGGCCCACAAAACTCGGATTAGTGTATTGTTCCCTGTTGATTAGGACCTAGGCCTGCTTTCTAAAGCTTCCTAGCAGTGATGCAGAAGTGAAGATAAGTATTGTACTAATCTTAAAAGCTCTGAAATATATAAAGTTAACCTGGGAAGATTTTATTCCACTTGAAAGTGATTTACCTTGAGGGAAAAATTATTCTCCATTCTTAAAAAATAGTCTTAAGTATGTGGTACAAACACAAAGATTACATTACTTTTCCACAAATGTACCGATCATTACAGAAATGTGCACAGTATTTGTCAATCAGACAAAAAGCATACTTAAAAATGGATGTACAATATTTTTGATTAGGAAATAAAATTGCCTAGAGATTAAAGCCCTGATGTTTAATTTATTCTGTATTTTATCAGCCTTTCCCTTCTCTCTCTCTTTTTTCTCTTTGCATGCTCATGCATTTATAAGTAGAATTCAAATAAAGTAGAAAATTAGATAGCTCTCTTGGCATGACTTGGAAGGGACTGCATTAAGGTTACTGACAATTGACGCAGTCTGCTGGAAAAATTATCAGCATGTAAGTTTTACGTAGTGCTAGATTGGACAGCTCTTACAAGATTTTTTTAATTCAAGAACAAATACCTTAAAATTACTATCTGGTTCTATATTGTGCGGAATGTGACGTATAACCTTTGTTAACTTACTAAAAGAGGAGAGGGTGATCATTGCAAAGCATCACAGGAAGAGGTAAAGGTGGGCAGGATCAGAAGAGCACCTGTATCTAGATACAGTCAGAGCAGGAACCATCCCACACACACCCAGTAAGAGTTTATAAACTGCTGTCATTTAAAACTCAGTAAGAATGGCTGCTGTATAACCTTCTTCACAGTCCTACCTTTGCACAAGTTTATCAGATACGATTCTCTTGATCTGCACATGCAGACATGCCTTGTTCTGTGCAGATTTCCTAAGGCTTTATATCAAACTGAAGAGCTTGCAATAAAATAATACACATTTTTAAGAAATACAGACCACCAATTGTGCTATCCTGCTCTACAGGGTAGCAGTAACAACTTCTGAATTTAATAAGTCTTATCCACAAAGAGAGTAGCTGAATGTGCAGTTGAAACTTGGATTTCCACCTTTCTAATTCATGCATGGGCAGCATGTCTTCTGGCACTAACTCCAGCGTAAGGTTCATCAGGAGCCAGGAGCTCTATGGTATCACAGACAGCCAAAAGAAGGGCAGGCGTACCAGTGCATGCAGATACCCCTTACATTCTTTTTTTCTTCTCTTCGTTCTCTTACAAAGACTGTGGAAATACAAAGTGTCAGTTACAAGGGGTTTGAAATCTGGTCTTACACACTGAACACATTCAATTGCTCCGAGTATGTACATATTGAAATGGTCTCCTGTGCACAGACCCTTAAATTGTAGGTGTGCTGTAATGCCGGTGAAAACCAATGATGCCATATGTAAAGCCTGGGCCACTCTAGCAGGGAAGAACTTTCAGGTAAACACATAAATGTGGAAAAAATGTGAAAAAAACACCTCCATGACATTTCGTAGGTGATACTAAATTTATAGCATTGGGGGGTGTCGCCAGATACATACGACAAGTAATGGATGAAGATGACAGCAACATGAACAGGTAGTTAAGGAGTCTGGGGGTTTTGTTGAAGAGTTGTTGCTACACAAAGCTTACCACCCTCATCAGATTCATCGTGGAGTAAGAGAAGGCAGGTGGGCAATTACCGAGGAGATGTAATGCCTAAAGTGTATTTTGTGATTATATGCTTGTATAGCTGTCTTCCAAGAAAAGTAATCTGATCTATTCCTTGCCACAGATGCTACCTAATCAGGATTGTGGTCCAAACAGAAATGATTTATTTTAGCTTTAATTCAGAACTGTCTGTCTTGGCAATCTTGTTAAAAAGAAAAAGAATACTCCCAGCAAAAACCAAATATGAGCTGCTCTTTGCTATTGGTAGCAGTATGGGCCAGCATGGAATTGCAGACTTTTGTAGCGACCTCATTTAGATGAGCAAGCTTCCAATTAAATTTAAACTTTATGCAACTCTAAACTGGTTTTGTTATTTTGCTGCTATGTGCTATACAAAATGAAAATATTTTTAATTTGTTAATTAAAATAGATGGAATTGTTAAACGGCATAAAGCACCTGCGGCAAGACAGAGCAAGCAAAAGGGCTTGCAAGCATGATTCTTCTAGGAGTATTTTAACAAAGAGAAGGACTAGACCTGATAAACCTGGGGCAATTCTAAGATTGCAGTTTGTCACCGTATTTTATTTGCATCAATTTTAGTATACATCTGCACTGACGCATGATGCAGTCCTAGTCATAGCAGAGGCTTTCCGTTACCTCCGAAGACAGCGTGTGGATGTCTCCAGGAGAGGTAGTGCTGGAGACTGCCTGGCTAACCCTGCAGTACCATGGAGCCAAGGAATTGATATAGAAAGAGCGCTGAAAATGGTAAGGGCAAACATACCAGCTAATGAATGTGTATATTCCACAACAGCAGCAATTCTGCTGGGACCAAACTTGCATCCTACTCTATGTACACAGAGTTTCTTCTGTACTCACACAAACAGCTGCAGCTCCTCAGGAAAAAAAAGAAAGAAAGAGAAAAGAAACTTAATGACAAACTCCAAATGATGGCTAAAATATATTCAATAGAGGGCAAGGCATAACAAATTAGCTCTCAAAACTTTGGCCAAAATCACATCCCTCTGGCACCGGTGCAGCAGCTTCCTGATTGTCCACACCAGAGCACCTACAATCTAACTCCCCCGTAACACCCAAGCTTCCTGTGAGTGACCATGAGCCATTTTGCAAACCAACATGTGCTGGGGGTTTCTAAGGTCAGGCTGAGGCTGCAAATCTGACTAACAGAACTAGACTGAGTCCTCAGCATGTGTATTGTAAATCTTACAGGGATACATGTATTTATGAACTTAAACACATGTATGCAATTTTGATAATTTGCCAGTAAAAAGTCAACTCAGATTGGTTTAAAGCAGTGGAAAAAATGTTGTCGGTCATAGCAATACTGCTGGATTTCATCACCAGCCTGAACCTTGACACAGTTTAGCCTCAAACCAGTTCTGATTCCTGGCATAACTTTGCACTCAGCCTGATTACCTTCTGCATGGCCTATTTTGTATCCCTAACGCTAGTTACTGCATGGGATCCTACCTCACTTATATCTCTAATTTTGTTGATTTTTAACTCTTTTTAGACTGTTATGTGTGTTAAAGCAAGTGACAACAGGAAAAATTGGATAACATTTTTGTAGATATAAGAGACAAGAATATAGTCTGCTTTTGATCTGGCTCAAATAACTCTAAAACAAACCTGTTAAAATCGATTATATTAATGCATGCATAGAGCTGGAGTGAGTGAGATCAGAATTAAGCCTATGTTCAGTATAAACAAATCCTAGGGCAGCCTTCATACACTTAGCTTAATTACTGCTTTTTCTCAGTTACCAAATTGGAAGGATTACATCAGAAGGTTATAATGAGTTATAGAAGGTTATAATCAGATTATATCACTCTTAAGAGTGAGAGAGATGGTTCAGTCTCACATTGCCAGAGCTCTTTTTATGCTGTTACGTCACTTCCTAACAAATGCCCTAACTACACGTTCACTAATGTAGTATTACACACTTTTGAAGAGAAGTTAATTAAATTCAACCTTCACAATAGTTAAAGAATTTGTACTGTCCATTTGAACTTAATTACAAGCAAAACGTAAAACTCCTCCAAATGAGATACGAGTTATTCATGTCAACAAAGAAAACCAACACTGCTACAGGACACTCCCTTATTCAGGAGAATTTATTTAAAAAACATAATTCATAACATATACAAAGCCAAACTCATGATTGGCAAAAAATGCAGAAGTTTGACTTTCAGCTGGTTGCCTTGTATTGTTTTAGCTATTCAAAGTCATCTAGGTGAGGTTTATATACACCTCCAACAAGTACTACCCAAGATCATCCCACTCTGCCTTCCAGACCCCATCCTGTCCATCACGCTCTCCCTCTATTCAGACCATGATCTCGAATCTTTGCTTCAGGAAAAAAACTTCGATTTAGCAATGTTTCCTCTCCACTCTGTAGCAACAACTCAGATAAGAATATTTTTTCCAAGACATCCTTGAAATATCCTGTGCCAGCAGAAGGTTCAGTGCCACCCTGTAATCATCCTGCTGGCAAAAGGGAAATAGGCATTACCTGAGTCTGCTTCCCTACAGCCTTGAAAACTGTGCATGTCTGTATTTCTAAAGCTGATTCTAAGGCATCAGATCAGTGGCAGACAGTTTACCTGAACAGATCTGGGCAGTTATAAATAGTCACTCCATTTGTGATTGCCTCCACACGCTGCTACCAGAAGTGTTCTGAGTCCTGGTGAGTCTTCCTGCCTCGGTGCAGCCAGATTTTGAAAAGTGCTGAGTTTTCCCCCCAAAGATAGAAACAAATTAAATTTGAAGTCAAAAGGTGTCAAGTGCACAACGCTCATGTCTCAATACCCATCAGGATGAAACTGGCCTAACAAGCTCTGCTGAGACGTACAGTCACTGCTGTGCTAAGGTAGCCAGACAGCTTCCAGCAAGTGCCAAAAGCAGGCACAGCAACTCTCATCTAGCTGCAAGTTATATGTCAACTGCCCTACAAATACATTTGCTCAGTCCACAGTTTGTAGGACCTCTTAGGGTCGAATTTGGCTTTCAAAGTCCCGTTCACCTCTCTAGCTTTCTGGAGACAGGAATAACTCACATGTTCTTCCAGACCCCTGAAATGTTATAAACTATTTTAAGAAAGGTTCAAATCCACTTACTGATAAAAAAAAAAATCACACTCCTTATATGTCAGTCTGAATTTGGCTCACTGGATAATTTGGGGTCCACGGAATTTTGGCTCTTTTATGTAGCCTTGTCCATTGTAACAAGTTTGATTGCACCATCTTTAAATCATAAATAGCAGATCAGTCACCAGCCCTGAACAGTTTCCCTTTGACTAGTCTTCCATCACCTATTCTGTAACTTCTACTGCATTTTGCTAAATATTAAAACTAATCTACCCCTACTGAAGTTTCAGACTGTTACTCCTTCTGCCTAACATGACAGCTTGTCAGTGTTGATAAGTGATAAATGGAAGTATCTCACCCTTTCATACAGGGATGTAAGAAAGATTTTTTTCTTTGAAACAGAGTACTTTATACTTCCCTTTAAGATGATTCATGTGAGTGGGTAATGATAATGACTTACCGTCTATACACCAATCCATCCAGATTGAGACCAAAACTCCATAAACAGTAGAGACAATTGTCTGTGCTCATTCAGAGAAGACATTCATTCCTTTCTCCTATGCTGGGACTGATCTTAAAATAAAGTACTTCCCGGAATGAGCAGTGATAGGGGATTCTGGTCCATATCGCAAATCACTCTATGCCATATTGTGAGGGGTTTAATGGCACTGAATTGTTGCATGTGCCTTGCTGATACTCCATGCTGTATCAGTGAACCCAGCGTGACTAAGCATGCAGAATCAGTCTTTCTTACATTTAACATAGGTGCAGGGCTAATTTCACTTATACTTAAATGCAGCTCACTCCGGTAGTGAGTCACCAGCTGAGTACTAACTAACAAAGAATATGTACAGCTGAAACTGAGAGACTTGGGATTGGTTTTGTTAGAAGAATATAAACTGGCTGTGTCAAAACCGCTACAGTCTCTTATATAGATAAAAATTGTGCTAGAGCTAGTGGGTTCCTACAAAATGTAATGGAGGGAAGAATAAAGTGAATCTTTTATAAAAATGTTTTTTCTGTTTATTCCCTTAAGGTGCAAGTTCAAGGAATGACAGGGAACATCCAGTTTGACACCTACGGGCGGAGAACAAATTATACAATTGATGTGTATGAAATGAAAGCCGCTGGATCACGGAAGGTGAGTTTCAAGATATACATCCAGATTTCACATCTTCACAAATACTTATTCCAACAAACTAATGAAACTCAAAAATACCACACAGGCACTGTAATAACAGGACCCTGAGGAAACCCTACCTTCCTGCTGTCTTCCCTATCCCAGGAACCTTGTTCTATTCTGTTCCTGGACCAAACCATTCGCCCTGCTTAATATCTTCATTGGTTTCCATGTCAACTTCAGACCCCACTTTTTCCCTTAAAACCCTTCTGGAGTTTTTCCACTGCCAAGCGTAATACCTGCTGTCGTGTTCCTGTGCTCAGCCCTATCTCCTAAATTCCTCTCCATCTTTCCCTTCCTCTCTGTAACAGGCCTTGGAGCAGTAGTGAAGCTGGAGCCAGTGTATTTTAGAAACCTTCTGAAATTAACAGAAGATAAGTTTGGTTTTAATTAGGATTTGCTACTCAATCTCCTGCTTCCTAAATAAAGTATAGATCCTAAGTGGGATAGTTGCCTACATCAATGTTATAAAAGAAATTTAGGGCAGATTTTCAAAAATAATTAGGTAGACAGGGTCTCAGGAGTATTGAGACGAATCTGTGTGGCCGAGGCACGTAAATCCCCCTGACTGCACCTGGCGATAGGTACCTAACCTGCTTAGTCACCGTTGAGACTCCTTAAACTCTTCTGCACATATTTGACAACAAAATACCTCTGGACATGGCCCAGCCATTCAGCTAGGTTTACAGCGCAGACAAAAGTGTTACTTCTGTGTTGTGCAGAGATACAAAAACTAGTGTAATAGCATAGCAATGTAGCCACAGCACCATGAAGGTCAGCACAAGCCAGCTGACAAATAGTCACCTTGTGCTCACAGAGGGTTTTGTATCCCGCACTGAAGGTAATGCTACTGTGCCTGCCTTGCTAACAACGTCTGTGCATCTACTCTAAAGCTAGCTCAGGCATGTCTGCAGGGACTGTATTCACTGCCTGAACTGCAGCAGAATATGGATAAAAATTTCAAAATCAAAGAATTTTACTCAGAGTGCTGTGCAGTTTATTTTCTTGTCTATAGTATATTCTTATGCTGTGGATACATGGGAATTTATTCCACAGGCACCGTGATGATGTGAATTTAGATAGGGGGAATTTAATATGTATTTTCACTTAGATTTGGCTTGTATTTATTTGCACGTGGGCTTGAGAACATTGTTTCTTTAAGGAAATTAAATTAAAGCTAATGTAGTCCTTTAATGGCAAAAATGTTGCATGAATAAGTGTTACGAAGCCATATGTTTTGACAGTTCCTGCTACAAGTTCATGCACCGGAGTCCTTGTAAATGTATGTAATGAGGTAACAATCTCCATTTTTATAGGCTGGTTATTGGAACGAATATGAAAGATTTGTGCCAGCATTAGACCAGCTGCCTTCTAATGACACTTCATCTGTGGAGAACAGAACTATAGTAGTCACTACCATCTTGGTAAGTTTTATGTTCTTAGTGTGTTTGTGTTTAGGAAACAAGACACATGGCTCCTGAGGTGTGTTAGACACCCTGCCAGGAGGCAAATGCTGAATACTATGTGACTTCAAGTGACTGAAAAGTTCAGTATCTTCCAGAGACCTACTGAGGGCTTGACCCTGCAAACTTCTATGTGTATCAATGAGTTTACTCCGAGGAGGAGCTCACTGAGCTCAACATTGCGCTTTGCTGCTTCTCAGACACTTGAACTCAATCAAACGCCTCACATAAGTGAAGTTATTCTGCATGTATGTAAATGACTGCAGGATCTGGCCTTCCTGCTGTAGGGTCAAATCTTGCACCCCTCACTCAGGTACAGCTCCTGTAAACTCAACCCCTGTGGACTGAGTAAGGGTGGCACACTGAAGCCTGTAGAGAACTGGAACTGCTCTAGCACTGGGTGAAAACCGACCTATGCCCATGCAATTCCAAAGGAGTAAAGCTCTTCCTGTGTCTCATAAACAGCAGCACCTGTGTCAGTCCCAACGCCTCTAGCCGATGTGCTCTGTACAGTGTTGTTTGTGACTTTTATGCCTGTTACAATTCTACTACGCATGAGCCAATTTTATGCTATTTCCTGAAGCATTGTATTTTATACTCCTATGGATTTAGCAAGGTATAATCAGCATTTCAGCTAGAGTTTTCCAAGAAGGCTAAGGGAATTTAGTGACAAAAATTGCTGAGGATTTTAGCCTAGCTTCCCTTAGGCTGCTTTGAAAATATCTCCATCAGAGCCCCATTCTAGGCCACTGGGGCCTTAGGAAATGGTTTTGATGGTACAGGTGTGGGTATATCAGTTCTTCAAACACTAAAACCTGAATTATTACTACAGTGATGCTAATTGACTGCCTAATCAGGCCTAATCCTGCAAACAAAAGTGTAACTTAGTTAAAGTGGAATAGTCCTGTTGTCTTCAATGGGTCCATACTAGGATTAAAATCAATAGTATGTGTGGCTGTAGGATCAGCCAAGGATTTTTAAATTGCAAAAGTTTGTCTTTCTGTACCAAAGCAGGAAATATTGTAAATACTTGCCAGTAATATAAAGGATAATAACAGCTCTCATTTTGTATGTTTCAAAGCTGTATTTTACATTCTTTTGATCTTTACTTTTGTTTCAAAGGAATCACCATATGTAATGTATAAGAAAAACCATGAACAACTAGAAGGGAATGAGAGATATGAAGGATATTGTGTAGACTTAGCTTCTGAAATAGCAAAACATGTTGGAATAAAATACAAACTGTCAATTGTTGGAGATGGGAAATATGGAGCTAGGGACCCTGAGACTAAGATATGGAATGGCATGGTGGGTGAACTGGTCTATGGGGTAAGTTTCTCTTAACCTTCATTTTAATGTTCTTTATAAAAAGTTATGCTCAAAGTTAATAAACTGCAAAATAAAGATTGTCTGTTTGAATACCACCTTTAAAATTCTAGATATTTCTTTGTAGTGCCATTTTTATAGTCTACTTTTCTAAGTTTCATTGCAGGAAAGTGTCACTTTTTTACTGCTGTTCTCCAAATCAAAGTCCACAAAATGTTGAGAAGTGGCCTTGGGCAAATTTCAAATTCTTGTCTACAGCAGAATTTCCAGTTTGCCCTTCATATGCTGCTTGTGCATTTGCCGTGTCTCCTTTTTCTCTATCAGTCTTGTAAGTGCTGGGGGGTGCCCCTCCCGTTTAAGGTCTGATCCTGCGATGCTGGCCCTTGCTGGGTCACTGATGTCAGTTTGTGTTTGACCAGAGACTAAAGACTCAGTTAGGCCCATGGTTGCTTTTCAGGGTAAGAAGCAATGCAGGTGTGAAATCACCCACATCTTTTTCGTTTTTAAACCCTGGGATTGGCTTTAAAAATCAACTGTCAGACAAAAAAAAAAAAGTCTAATTCATTGCATTCCTCTTTATATTTTTATATACATTGCTTTGTTTAGTAAGAACAAAAACAGTCCGGAATTGCCATTTTAGAAACTTCTTTGAAAATGAGAATTCTGGAATACAGATAAACCAGATGGAAGGGGGAGAAAATTGGCTTTGCAGAAAAGACTTTACAAGCTGATATTTCATCTTTGCTTTTTTTTCCCCAAATGCTAATGAGATGATTTGTGATTCCGCCCAAATCTTCTTTACAGTTTATTTTTAACAAGCTTTCCTTTATTAAAAATATCTGAGCAGAAGCGAATATTTCCATTGCCTCCTTTTGTTCCATGGCTGAGTGTAATTTCTAAAAGTCACCTCAAAATTTCCTTGGGATAACATATCATCATTCTTGCAAAATGTTTGGTGAGATAATTCTTTTAAAATGAACCAGTCTTTTTAAAGTAATTGCTAGACTCGCAAAAGTTTTCTTATTCTGGAGCAGTCAGTCCTGATGCCGTATTATATACTTAGTAGCCTATTCAACTTCAAAATATTTTATGTAAGCAACAGTGTTCTCGTAGTATTGTATTAAGGGGAGGGAGGGAAATTTACCGATTAGAGAAAGTAACCAGGGGTCTGCACCCCTGGGTTATATCTTAGCTTCCCTGTTGCATTGAGGTTTGGTATTATGCAAATCTTCTGAACTCCCCGTGCCTCAGTTATGCGATTTGGGAAACCGGTGTTACCTCTATTAGAGAATACAAGTACATTGAGAACCTCTGAAGCAAAGGTTTAGTTTAGTTCCAAGCATAATTACGTTGCAGTGGAAACCTAAACCCTCAGTCTCCCTGTGTGTGGTTCAAGAAATATTAGCTGTAATTGTGTCTTTTTGATATATTTGCTATTGACAAGCAGTGAAACAGTTTATTCACTTAAAAAAGTAATCACACCATATGCAAAAGGCATGACAAAAGAGAACCTGAAATTACTGCTAACAGCCAGGGCACAGGGACTGTCTATGCCAGAGGAGTAAAGGTGTGATATGGGCCACTGCCTCTGGGACTTGAGCCAAGTAAGATTAGCCTGTGCAGCTGCTGGACGATGCAAGATCCATCTGTGTTAAGGGCTCGCAAATGTGAGCCATTTTCCTCTTTCAACCCAGCCTTTTCTTGGATAAAGGGCCACAAACATGATCAGAGGGATGGAACATCTCTCCTATGAGGACAGGCTGAGAGAGTGGGGTTGTTTGAGCCTGGAGAAGAGAAGGCTCCAGGGAGACCTTGTTGCAGCCTTTCAGTACTTAAAGGGGGCTTATAAGAAAGATGGGGACAGACTTTTCAGTAGGGCCTGTAGCAATAGGAGAAGGGGTAATGGCTTTAAACTAAAGGGGGGTAGATTTAGTCTAGATCTAAGAAGAATTTTTTTACGCTGAGGGTGGTGAAACAGTGGCACAGGTTGCCCAGAGAGGTGGTGGATGCCCCATCCCTGGAATCATTCAAGGTCAGGTTGGAGGGGGCTCTGAGCAACCTGATCTAGTGGAAGATGTCCCTGCTCATTGCAGGGGGGTTGGACTAGGTGACCTTCAGAGGTCCCTTCCAATGCAAACCGTTCCATGATTCTACCAAACCATTCTGAGATAAACAGGTTGGCTGCAGCTGCCTTTTTCACAACCCCTTGGGACGAGCCTAGCTTGAGCTCGAGAGCTCTGCTTCCTTAGCATCAAACTGAGCCCTAGCCACTTCCCCTTGACCTGACCATACTTGTGACCTTTCCACACCAGCAAAAACCAGCCTCGCAGGCACCATAGACAATACGTTAAAACAACCCCAAACCTGCCCTGCCATTGTCATTTTCTCCTGCAAAAAGGTCAGTTCCTTTGTATTCTGAAGCAGAGTTTTCACCCATGTTTTCTCATTAATGAAAAATTGAGGAATGTTTCCCTCCCTGACCCCCAACAGCTCCTCTTCTCGCGCTGTGAGCTCAGTTACTGAAGCCTCTTCACTGCAGTGCTCAATTATTCAAAGGTCAGATGCGTCCCTTGAGGTTTGACTGTAGACTCAGGTTAATGCTTACAACCCAGTGCTGCTGAGCTAGCTCCCCGTCCTGCTGAGCTGGACTACAGTGCTGGCAAGCTGCACAGAAATCCACCTGGCTTTCTGTAAGCAGGGAAAACAGCCCCTGAACTCTGAGTACAAACCTCACCAGTGCTCCAGATCCTTTCCCAGCCCTGTTCACAAACATCATGAAATACCCTTGGCCTCTTTCTCCATCTGTTGAGAGGGGGCTGCGTACCACACTCACAAGGATGTGCACAAAGCCCTTTGAAGATGAAAAGTGCTCTAGAAGTGCTAATTATTTGGAGCAAGTGCCTCATTTACGTGCTGACTTTCCTTTAGCTCTCAGGGGCTTAAAACTCTATTAGGGAACTAAAACTGTACGTTTCTCCTAATGCCCCTGTGAGCTTTGTCTGCAAAATGACTGTCATATTTGGCTCCTCTGGATTCCATTTTGGGAAGACAAGAGGGAGATTAGATTTTAAATGCCTTTATTAGCATGTATGGAAGACAGGCATGGGGGGATAAAAGGGACCTGATTGGTTTTGGTACCAGTTATCCAGCAGCTGAACTGAGCTGTGGCAGAAAACACAATCTTTTAGATTGCATTTGTCTCAAGTGATAAACAGTGACTAGTCATTTGTCAAACACAGCATATTCCTGACCCAACAGGCTTCTCACCACCACCTGGCACTGCTGGGAAGTCTTACGAGGCTTTTTGAATGCTGTGCCCTTTTTTGCATAGCCCCATGCATACAGCTCTTTTCTAAAATTGCTCTTAGGACAGTCATAGGAAGTGAATGGCTTGTCATTTTAATGCCAAAACCCTAATCAACTGTAATTAATGTTTGGTTCGTGCCAGTTTGTTGTTACTGTCGCTCTTGCTTCCTGTGGAATGCAGCATAGAGTCAGGAGAGAAAGTGCAGCCAGGTCCTTGCAGCCTCCAGTTCACTGGGCTCCGAATGGTGAGGAGGAGGGAGGGATGGGAGGGGGCTCAGTGTGCACTGAACTGTACCCAAAGCAACAGCGGTGCTGTGTCACAGCACTGTGGGTCCTGAGGCTGACCGGCACAGCCCTGACTCCGGTGTAAGACTAGCCAGAGGTCTGCATTAACTAGGCTAACAGCAACAGTCCCGAGAGTTACACATTACCTGGGGATAGACACGCTAAAATACTTCTCATTAGAAATTCTCCCTCCCCTGTCTCCTACCACATCAGGGCTGGTTGGAGGGCGTCAGTCTACTGTGCCGTAGGGCCCCCCGAAGTTGAGGACAATCTCAGCTGGTCCTCTTGGACCTTTCCTTGTGGCTTTGCAATGGGCTGTACAAATGAACCTGGTTACAGAGAACCATGCTGCTCTTTGGCAGCATAGGGATGGCAGCCGTGGAGGCAGGGAGTTCTGGCCGAACAGAGAGTCCCAAACTCCTTTGCTTCAGACAGGAGAACCCAGAAGACTTGTTAGAGAAGAGCTGACAGGGGCGTGTGGTTTGTTAGCAATTTTCAAATGTTGGTGGTAGTAGTAGTAGTAGTAATAATAGCAATAATAATTAATAATTATAATAATAAAATTTGACATGAAAATGAAATTTATTTGATTTTTCATAAATACAAAAATGTCAGTTCAGGTTGAAGAAAACCTTGATTTTGCTCTATTACTCTGATAGTGTCAAAATAAGACTCTTCTTCCTACCAGAAAAAAACCTACCAATTCAAGCTCTATTATTTTTTAAACTAAGAGAAATTTCTAACACGTAGTGGAAACTTTTGACAGAATAAAAATAGCAAATAGGTAAAGCTTTTTTCCTGGACATTGTAGAAGAGGGAAGTAGCTAAATCATTCTCGCTCTGGGAGACCAAATTACTATTTAAATCTAACCAGCAAAGCAAACCAGCAAGGCGAGTGCTGTCCTCCAGTGATTCACCCGCTAACGATGTGCCCTCCGCTCGGGCTGATGAGCAGCAGCACCTCCCACTGCGCCCACCCCGCGAGGCCGGTGCTCAGGGCTTTGTACCCACCAGCTGCTGAGCACTAGACAATCGTCTTTTCTCTTCTGTAGGGCAAGCCTCTTTCTGTAGGCTTTTATTTCTTCTTTCCCTTTTAAAGCAGGCTGCTGTTCTTCCTTCACTGTTCAGCCAGGGAAAGCCTTCCCTCCTCGGGCCTGATGCTTTTCACATCGCTGAGGCTAATTGACAGTAGGTTTAACACAGATCTTAATTTAACTACAAATGCTTTGGGAGTGGGAGGAGCAGCCAGACCTTACAGCCTTTAAAACTCTCATCAGGTAAAAAAAGGTCTGTATAAAAACCTTTCAATATGTAAAATAGCATAAAGGAACGAAGCAGGGATGTAAAGGACAGACAGTCCCCCGAACGCAGGCAGCCTCCGCAGTCTGTCAGAGTGGGACCACCTACACATC